TGGCTTCAATGCTATCTGCTTGAATAAATGGGTGCTAGATGCTGCTGCTATTGGACTCAAAACTAGAAAGGGTCAAAGCTACACAGTACTTAGAGCGAGAAAATCTGATTCACAGTAAGTTGGAATTATTCAACAGAAGTGTTTTTTTTTTTGCTATGTTTGTATTTCACTTCATTAGTTTGTTTCAAAAGTACAGACTGCAGTTTGAAATATAATTTGCAGCACACTTACTTTAAAAGAATATGTAAAAATGGTTTTTGTTGTATAGTTGTAATTGTGGAGATAGGCAAGAAATGTGAAGAACTTTAGGGCTTTACTGAAAAACAAACATTAAGACTTAAATAAAACTTACATTGATGATAAATACTTTTTCTTCCAGATTTTACAGGTCAGTTGCMTATCGACAATTTTTTAGAKTGATATGGGTCTATGCAGGGAACTCACAGCGACTACCGCTTCCATGCTGTGTTTATAACGCCATAAGGAGTGAGTTCCCTGAAGATGATGGAGTATATCGTGGGTTTCAGGAGGAAGATGAGGTCCAAGSAGAAATTGAATCTTCAGAACGTGAGTCTTGATGAGAATTGTGYATCAGATGTTTCTGCTCTAACTACTGTGGAGTTTTGACTGGAGTCCAATYGCAGCACTACCTAGCACTCATTTATACATGCAGGTACACAACTGCACTGAATTTATCCTGGCATCTATTGATTGCAACATTGAACTTTGCTCATTTTACACATCAGGCACCAATTATCAAGTGTGAATGACTCTCTCAAAGTATGGATAAGCATTTCTTCTCCTACAAAGCTTTCTCATAGACCTGATATTACTCCTTGTACTGTAGGTTAATATAGTATACTGGACTGATTTGACAACCACCAGAAACTCATTATGAGGTGGATGAACATCTAGCAGCATTAGTTTTGTTATATGCAACAAAATGTTGTGATTTTTCATTCAAAACATGTTTCTTGAGTATGTCATTTTTTGGCTTCTAAAATTCTAGAAATAAAAGAACTTCAAGAAATTTTAGCTTTTCAAAAGATATAATGAAATAATTTTGATTCTCTGAAGTACTATTTTTTGTAGTAATACATATGAATGATGTTTGGATATCATGATGTAAAGACTTCGTGAATGTTTGTGTGTGTTTTAATTTTCTACAGGTAGTTGGTGGGGACAATATCTTTTTTTGTTGATTATCTTGTGCCCCTTCATTGGTTTATCGCATGATTTACATATTGGGACTTTTCTTGTTCCTCGTTCTGGTGGAGGCGCTACAAGTTCCTCCAGTTCGGTATCTGAAATCAATCATAGTTTGGACATATTTAGATAAAGAGAAGATATATCAAATTAAATCCATATGTCTTTTTATGATATTGACCTGTGCATGTAGGTGGACACAACAGTGTTTGGGCTTCTTTTCTTTCCATATATTTTCTAATGGCTTCATGTTTGTTCTCTTTCTCATTCATTGTATTCATTGCTTCCGGGACTTCTGCTTCTAATTCTATRTTAAGCACTCTAAGGTGATCGCGGGGAGTTTCAATGAGGTTTTTATAGATGTCTTTAACATATTCTGMAAATATACAAAAACAGAGGTATTTCATATTATCAAACTGATACCATAGATGTGATACATAATTTGTTTCCTCACCATAGTTTTGTGCAGTTTTAACTTCCCTTACAGTTCCTTCCCCATACTTGTATTTCACATATGACACTCTTAATTTTACATTTCCATTTTGGTCTGTCTTTGGGGCCCTTTCAATATTATAATTGAAATGAAGGGCAGCCAGTATTGTCCTTAAAAGGAAGTAGGTTGTTGATTTCAGTAAATGATGGCCTTATTTTTGAAGCGCTAATA